TAATTCTTGAACCCAGCAGTAGAAAGCAGATCATTTCACAATGCTTTTTCAGCATTGCTGAGTTGGGGGGGGGGGGTAAAGTCTAAATAATAATGGTGCAACTTTTATCAAAATAATGAAGCTAATCAAAGTAGACAAAGTGTTAACTAGAATTCATCTACCCCACAGACTTTGGGGGTGGTTGGGGGGTGGGGGTTTATCGGGGTTCTTCGTGGTGAAAAATAAGTATTGGTAAAGGGAATTGAGATTGATATTTGCATGACTGAGACCTAAACTTGAAAGCTTTGTAATTTTCCTCACAGCTATTCAATAAATAAATAAATAAATTTTAAAAAATAGTGAATTTTTCAGAAGAATTCTGAGTTTGTTCTAGCAGGCACTTAAATTATTTGTAAATCACATTACCCTAAGAAAGATTAATTTTAATAAGGATAGAAAATTTTTCTACGTTCCTCATCATTTACTGCAAACTCTTTTTCCTGATGTACATGTTTCAATCACTTGATCACTTCACATCCCGTTACTCATCGATTTGCTCGAGCAGGTGTCTAATGTCTCCATTCGTCCCTGTCACATACTAGTGCAGCCCAATGGTGTCTGCTCGTTCCAGGAAAACAAAAAGCCTCAAACCGGTCATTCAGGGTCTTGACAAAGAAGTCTGACCATCACATAGGTGAGAGGCCACGCGATCTTTTGACGTCCCATGAAATCCAGTCGGTAATGGCTCTAGTCCGGCGGTCGTCTCCAAATCTCATTACGTGTCCAGCCCATCTGCTTTTCGACTCCTTGGCAAACAAAACAGCGTCACTGATTTTTGACCATTGACAGAGGTTGGAACTCCGGATTCTTTCTCTTATTTGAGTGAAACTTGATACTCCAAGCATAACTCTTTCGATTTCTCTTTGGGAGACCCGAATAGCATTCTCATCCTGTTTTTGTAGGGACCACGTCTCCACTACTTCCACTACCTACACTACCTAGCCGCCGCCATGTTCCAGGACGCTTTCAGGATGCTTGGGCCGAGACTCAACACACAAGTGTTTTCTTACCACAGAACCAGGTAAGCAGAACTCTGTGACCTTGGACTCCAGGCTCAATGGACCCGAGAACAGAGATTCTCTGCCTGCTCCCACCAATCTCCAGCAACCAAGGAATTAAAACTAGAAGCCCCACCCTACCCTGCCCTGTCTGCTTCCACCAACCTCCAGCGACCCAGGAATTACACACAGAAGACCCACCCTACCGGTACTAGAAAAATACCTCACTGGCAGACCTCCACTACCTCCACTACCTAGCCGCCAACACACTCCAGGACATTTTCAGGATTGTGCGGCCGCTTTGTGGCCGCTCGACATATTATAAGACACTTAATACCCATCTTCCAGAATTGCCACACCATATTTGGTAGGGTTCAAATATGGTTTGAACCATGGGAACACCTGCAAGGGCGATTAGAGGCCTCTCTAAAAGCCTCCATCCCTCTCGGAGAGCATGGAAAGCTACCGAGAATATCCCGCCCACACACCAGAGCCTAGCAAGCTATCCGTGGCGTATTCAATATGCCAAAACCAGGAAATACAATGGGTCTCATTCCCCTGACCCTGAAAGAGCCACCAATATGGCAGCATTAAGAAGGATGAGGAAGGAGAGACTGATAAAATCTCAAGGTCGAACTGGGCTGCCAAAATGAAGAAGGATAAAAGTGACCGTCTGGGTTTGGGCCCTCAGTGATGAGACACAGTGGGCTTCACGGGATGGGGGTGGAGGCAGCCTTTTCCTCCCCATCCCAATGAGACCCCAAGTCGCTGACCATGAACGGCCTTTCTGGCTCCTGATCAAGCTGCTCAACAGCCATGATCCAAGAGACTCAGGAACAAATATCAGAGCCCTGCAGGTTTGGGCAGAAATCCCTTCAGATTTAAGTGTCAAAATTTCAGAATTTCAAAATTGCACAGCCGCTACTGCAGCCACGCTGCAACATCATATGTTATTCATAACCAGCAATAGAAAACAAGTTGTCTACTGTTGCCTTTTCAGCAGATCTGAGTGTTGGAGTAAAATCTCAAATAATAATGGTGGGTCTGGTGTCAAAGTATTGTATGTGATCAAAGTAGAGAGAAAGTAATGTGGAAATCATCTGCCCCACAGGTAGGGGGAGGGTGTGGGATGGGGGTATACTGAGGTTGTTGGGAGTGGAGAATGGGCACTGGTGAAGGTACAGGTGTTTCATTGTATGACTGAGACTTAGACCTAAAGGCTTCGTAACTGCTCTCATGGTGATTCAAAAAATAAAATTATAAAAATCTTTTTTAAAAATAGTAATGTGGAGTTCATGCCCAATTCAATCAGCTAATCAGTGGCGGAGTAAATAGCAGTACTCCTACATAAAATAAAAAGTGACTGTCTGTACATGTTTTAATTGAGTGAAAATTCTCGTGTTATTTTTATTTAGTTAAATGCTAGGAACGGGAGTGAAGATAGATGGTCGGTAAATACACCACCTCCGCTTTGCTGATGACATTGTTTTAATAACACCAAACATCAGCCAAGCGGCACAAATGCTGGCCAACTTTGACCGTGAGTGTGGAAAGGTAGGACTACAGCTGAATCTTACGAAGACAATGTTTATGAGAAACAGCCTCGTTCCTGACACCCCATTCGCTCTCAACGGAATGACCATCTCCGAATGCAACAGCTATGTATACCTAGGTCGAGAAGTCAACATGACAAATGACCTGGCACCCGAGCTGCGCAGAAGGAAGAGAGCAGCTTGGAACGCCTTCAAGAAATAGCTAAGAGGACTAAGAACCTCTGGCTTCAGGCACATCTCTTTGATTCCACTCTTCTTTCTGCATTAACATATGCCTCAGAGACCTGGGCCCTATGCAAACAGGATGAGAATGCTATGGGGTCTCCCAAAGAGGAATTGAAAGAGTTATGCTTGGAATATCACGTTTCACTCAAATGAGAGAAAGAATCCAGAGTTTCGACATCCGTCAACGATCAAGAATCAGGAATGCTGTCTCGTTTGCCAACGTGTCAAAAATCAGATGGACTGGTCACGTAATGAGATTTATAGACGACCGCTGGATTAGAGCTGTTACCGACTGGATTCCACGGGATATCAAAAGACCACGTGGCCGCCCACCTACCAGATGGTCAGACTTCTTCATCAAGATCATGAACGATCAGTTTGAGGCTCTTCATGTTCCTAGAGCGAACAGACGCCATTGGGCTACACTAGCACGTGACAGGGACAAATGGAGACGTTACTGGCGCCAGCTCGAGCAAATCGCCAATTAACAGGAAGTCAAATGATCAAGTGATCAAATGCTAGGAGTTTCTGGTAGTGTATGGCCCAAGCCATCAGGAGTTGTGAGCCTGCAAGAACACACCAGGAGCCGAGCAACAGTCTTAGACCACCAGTCCAGAAAACGGAGAGGGCCTGAAGCTAAGGGGCACATTGTTCCCTTAGAGTTCTTGGATTTACTGTGGTTGGGTTTATGTCTCAGTCTCAGCTATTCTCTCAAAAGCAGTTCCCCAGTATTGAGCAATCACACCTGAACTGATCATCTCAGCATCTTTGTTTTTCCCATGGTTATTCTTTTATTCAAGATTTACCCACTCTCCTCTCCTCCTACACATACCACAAGCCCACTTCCATAATTGTACTCCTGCTTGCCATGAGAAATTTGTCTCTCTGGCCCTGTGGTTTTAATTTTCACAAGAATAAATACCTGAGGAAAAGAAAGAAAATATAAAACATAGGTTGAGGAAGAGTTGACCCTATTATAATAAAAAGAAACACTATAATCAAGTCAAATTTTATTCATTTAAGAGAATAATACATAGAAGATAAACTTTTGAGTTTTGATTTTAAAATCCTGGCATAAACTTTTGAGTATGTGAAATTTTAATACCAGTATTGTATTTTTAATACAGAATATGTTGCACTTCATATCAATGGGAAGTGGACCATAAATTTAGTTCTGGTACAAAAAGCTTTCTTAAGAATACAACAAAATAAGTCTATGATCAGCCTTGACTCTCTAGTCTGTGTCTTTCAACAGTAGAGGTACTTAAACTTCCTCAGGAGTTCATTGATTCGGAGGAAGATGACTGCCATGACGTCCAGCTGTGAGACCAGAGGTCTGTAGGGTTGACAGAGAGACTCTCCAATCAATGTATTATTATGCAGACAGGCAAAAGGCAATGTCCTAGGTTTTGAGGTGATTCCCAAGGACTGTCAACACCCAGGGAAATTTCTTTTTATTTATTTATTTTTTTATTAGTGAAACACCATGAAATACAGTTATAGACTACAAATTGTTGTGCTTGGGTTTCAGTTATACAATGATCAAGTACCCATCCCTCCACCAGTGCCCATCCTCCACCACCACGGGTCCCAGCATCCCTCCCACCCCGCATCCTCCCCATCCCACCCTGCCTTTGTGGCAGGGCATTCCCCCTTGTTCTCTCTCTCTTCTTTTAGGTCCTGTGTTTTGCAAGATAGGCATTGAGTGGCAACCATGTTTGATCTATAGTCTACTTTCAGCATGCTTCTCCCACCCTGGGAGGATCCTCACAACACCCTTTATTTAGTGCTCTCTTTTCTATCTGAGCTTCCTTTTCCCCTAGCACGTATGGCTGGCCTCTAAGTCATGGAGCAAAATTCAACCCAGGGAAATTTCATCCCCCACCCTGTCATTCTGCCAACATCATTTCTGGAGAGGAAGGAAACCACGGAATATGAAGTCCCCTGTTCTTCTCCCCACTCTGACACGCATCGTCCACATTGGAGGAGAAATTCCAGTGGCCGTGATACTCTGGGTGGTCATAATGAAAGAATGAAGCACAGTCTGCCCAAAGTTTTGATTCTATCATGACAAAGGGAGTCATCTCAAGAAGGAGAATGTCAACGAGATGCCACGTTGTGTGTGAGGGACCCCAAGGAGAGAGGACCCACGTGCTCTGGGATGTGAGCTGGAACGAGGGAACCTGCAGCCCCCAACCACAGCAGACACCATGGCCTGAGTCTGGGAGGGTGAGTGCTCCATGGGAATAGAGAGAGCAAGCCTAGAAGCTGGACTCTGGCCACAGGAGGCTGGCGGGAAACAGCTGTGCCCAGTCACAGGCCAGCCTTCCCTCAAAGGAGCGCTCTCCCTAGGACACGTTTGTGGGATTCCTCAGATTTCCTCTGGACCCTGCACAACTCCTCTAGCCAAGCCTCCACCTCCCACTTCTCCTGGGAGCCTTGCCTCAGAAAAGTTGGCCTCGCTGGCCCTTCCCCGTGGGGCCTCTCCTGCCAGTACTGGTAGGCACTGTTGCTGTAGTGCCAGCCCTCGTTCTCCCACAGCACAACCTCCACCTGCTCCATGAGCGCCCGGAGCTGGTCCTCCCGCTCACTCCCCTGTGCCCTGTTATTGAAGCCGCAGTGGCGCCGCCCGCACAGCACATCAAGCCTGTCCAGGTACTGGTTGTCAGAGCCTCGCAGGTACTCGTCCAGGGAGTCCCCAGCCAGGTCTTCCTTGCGGGTGAACACCAGGACGGTGTGTGCCAGCACGCTCGGCCCGAAGAGCTGCTGGAGGCGCAGGGCCGCCTGGCGATCCTGCTCTGTGAAGCAGCCCAACTGAATTACCAGCAGCACCGCGTGGGGCCCTGGGGAGGACAAGGTGACCGCCTTGCACATGCACTGGGCAGACTCCATGGGAAGGTCCAAAGGACTCAGGAGATCAGGGGTGTCCATCACCTCCAGCTGCTTCCCGGCCCACTCCCTCATCCCCGTCTGGAAGTCCTGTGTCAGAGGCAGGGCGCTGACTCTGGACTCGAACAGGGTCCGGCCCAGGATGCTGTTGCCGGTGGCACTCTTCCCACTTCCGCTCTTGCCCACCAACATCAGCCTGAGCGTCTGCGGGGTCTCCTGGCTCTCCAGCACACCTAGATTCGAGGAAAAGCAGAGGGCTAGGGCTTGGATGCCGTTCACCTGCGGGGGCCTGTGGGGAGGTTCCCTGGCCTCTTGCGTCGCAGACAGCACCGCCCAAGCGTCTCTTAGCATTTCTGAACAGTGTGTGTGTGAGCTGGGCCAGCAGTCCTTGTGTGTGCGGGCAGGTGCATGTGTGCTTATGTGGAGGGCGAGTTGCTGCTTTCTCTGGGGAGGTGAAAGGTGCTCTCTGTCTGTGCTCTGAGTTACTGCAAAGCTGGACACTGGCTGAGACCTCTCTGGACACCCCGGAACTAGTGCTCATTAGTGCTCAGTTGTTTTTCTTTTTTATAATGTTTACCTTTGTGTACAGAAGTTGTTAGACATGTACTGGCAAGTTTTTTCTATGAGGTTACATACTTCATTTGAATGTTTTCCATTGTTCAAGTCAGGAAATGTGAGTTTTATGCAGTGAAATAATCACGTGTGTTCCAATACCTCATAAATCACGAATATACTCTCCCAGGCAGGAAATGAACAGGCACCTGCATCTGTCTCCCCAGGTGAGTGGCAGAGTTAAGCTCATGAGGGTTGAGCCCATACCCACGTCAATGTCTCTTGGGGAGAAGCCTCAGGAGAGGGACTGGATCTGAGGCGGAGGCCAGCACCACCTGCTTATATCTCTGTATTCGAGGCCTGAGGGCTGGTCCTGGTGAACCAAACCCACTGCAGGGCTATTGGCTCCCGGCCTCGGGGGAAGGGAAGTGATTGTCTCCCAGGGGTCAGGCCCTCATCCTGGCGAGAACTTACCAGGAGATTCTGTCACCTCCGGGGTGAGGACAGACCCCACCCCAAATACCCTCCACAGCAGCCCCGGGGAGTCAGTCTCTGTGTCTGTTGAGTCCTCTGGCTCTGCGAACTCCACCTGAACTGCAGTTCGAGTCTGCGCGTCCTAAGGCCCTATCTGCTGGGACAGTTGTTTTACCTGCCTGCAGGTCTGCGTTAGGATCCTGAGACTGCACTCCAGCTCGAGTCTGGGAAAGGATCCACTCAGATTCTTCCTCCTCCATCTAGAAAGAAAAGCACAGTTCCATGTCCTCTTGCTTCCACCAAGACTGAAGAGGCACCTGACTGTCTCTTACAGAAGGACTGGGTCTGCTTCACTATGGCAGAATCACATTGGTTTCTGCTTCTTCCTCCACAACAGGGAGTTTAGGTTTACTGAGTAATACCCATCACATGCTCCTGAAGCACTCCCATTTCCTCAGAATTCATCTTTAACTTCTCTGTGCTCTGCTTTCTCTACCTGTTAGTCACTCGTTTCCCCTAAGCAGTACCTGTGACTTGTAAAGTCAAAGTCTCAAATTCTCTGATTTTATATTTGTAAGTAGGCTATTCTCTTTCAGGAGCTGGGTTTTATAGTCTCTGAGTCTTGGCTGTTGATGGGATTACATGGCGCCAGGGGGCCAGTTGGTGGGTGTGACCCCTGCCTACTGGAATTTGGAGGATCTGGGTGGAGGATGCTCAGCCCCGATCCAAGTAGGCTTGGAGATCTGAGCCCCGTGACCCGCGTGCCTTTGTTCCTCTGCCGGTACCTTCATGTGTGCAGAGAGTGGTCTCAGCATGGTGGTGGCTGGTTCTGGAGGTCTTCGGCTGCCAGAGCCCTGGTCGGGGCGGGGAGGAAAACTCAACCCGCTCCCCTTCAAGGGGCCCTGACGAGGACAGCCTACTTCGTAGAGCAGGTGCAGTCACTCATGCCTGAGGAATGAACAGCCTGGAGCCGACAAGGGCCCTAGGCTGTCATGTGAGGGAGAGGAACAGGGCTCCGAGCAGGGAAGGACTGTCTGAGCAGCAGCTCTGGGGGCTGAGTGAGGGCTGGAGACACCGGGGCCTTAGGACACAGAGAATGGCCAGGCTGGGCCTGTGGGGAAGGCATTTGGCATGACAGCAGATGGGTGGCTGGGGAGCAGGAGGAGGGGGACACAGCCCAGGAGAGTCACACTCTGCTAGGCCCCAGGAGGTCTCAGCTGTCACCCACACAACGGTTCCTCAGAGCAGTCCCTCTGCCTTACCTCAGTGTCCCCATAGGTGGGGGCAGAGCCCAGTAGATGCCCATTGCCTCTTCCCTGTATGATCCCAATGTTATCTTGTGACATTTTAGAGCACAGCAGGTCCACACCACCTCAGCCAGGAACTCCTGTCCCCTCCTGATGAGAGCACACACGCCCAGGGACTGGCATTGCCCTCGTCCTGTCCTTGCTGGACATTTTCTGCCTAGTGGACAGGCAACCATGTGACCTTTCCCAAACATGTAGGAACAGGGACATGTTGAAGTCACAAGGGCTCCTAGGAAGGTTCTGGGCTTGGGGACCCGGAAAGACAGTTCCGTGGCCACAGTCACTGGCCACCATTGACCTGGCAGCTACCTCAATCCACCCCCAATGCCCAGGCAAGACCTGTGACACACAGTGTGGCTCCTGTCACATCTACTGGCTGAGTCAGTCATGTCAGCCCTAGTTACAGGCAGGGATGGACTCAGTCCAGGCTAGTTGGACTTCCCCAGGCTGGCCCTGAGCAGGAACTGACCATCTTATAGAAAAGCCTCACCCAGACCCAGACTCTTCTCTAGTGAGGCCCTAGCATGTTCCTATCAGAGGGCTTCTGGAATGATCTCTGCTAACTGCTTTTCCCTTGGGCCCTTTGTCTTTGACTTCCTCTGCCCTTGGCGGAAACTGACACTGCACTTTACCAAGGAAGTCTCCTTCCACGAAGGGAAAGGTGGACTGAACAGAAGGGCAGAGGTTCCACGATATGAGGCAACCCTGGGGGCTGGAGAGATAGCACAGCGGGTAGGGCATTTGCCTTGCATGCGGCTGACCCAGGTTCAATTCCTGGCATCCCATATGGTCCCCTGAGCACCGACAGGAGTGACTCCTGAGTGCAGAGCCAGGAGTAACCCCTGTGCATTGCCGGGTGTAACCCCCAAAAAAAAGCAAAAAAAAAAAAGAGGCAACCCTGGAGGGAAAATTAAACCCTCTGCAGCATCCAAAGAGTGTCTACCCTCATACCCCCTCTCCTAGAACAGCCATACATGACACCTCGCCGGAGCTGCACTCTATAGTCTGTCTTCAACACTGACCGAGGGCGGCTGCCCTCTGCCTTTGAGTATTTCTCAAGAATGACAGTGATGGAGACTGGAGAGAGAGAACAGCAGGAAGGCGTTTGCCTTGCATGCAGGTGACTCGGCTTCAGTCCCCAGGACCCCATACGATTTCCTGAGTAGTGCCAGGAGAAATCCCTGAGCACAGAGCCAGGAATAAGCCCTGAGCACCACTGGATATAACAAAACCCCCAACCACTCCCCCAAAATAATGACAGTGACAGCAAGGTCTCTGCCCCACAGAGACAACCAGACATGTTGAGGCAGAAGCAGAGGGGACAAATTTCCCCACCATGAGTGACAGGTCTCCCTATTAACCCAGTGACACACAGACATAACAAGCAGCAGCACTCACAAACATACCCTCACAAACACAGACAACACATGCAAACATACACACGACACGCACTTACACAGGTGCTCCAAACACAACCCACACAGACTCAAAGGCATTCACTGCACATGGCCACCACCACCCCCACAGGGCCACTTTCCGCCCTGCTGGCCGGGTTAGGAAGCCCACCTCTGCTTTCTGCCCCTGTGAATTCCTTGTCTCTCCTCTCAAAGCGTCAGACTGTCTTTGGGGAAAATGTGAAGAGAAGCAGCAGCAGCTTAAAGGATCTCAGATGCATGAAGATGTCACCTAGATTTTCCACTGAAATGAGACACAAAAGCTCAGTCACAAACCCGCCTCATGAAAGAGAAAAGCAGGAAGTGGCAGCAGGAGCCAGCACAGGCGCGCCTGTTTCAGATCTGCTTTCACATTGGACCTGCCCTTCGGTCTCCAAAACAGGAAATACAGAAATGCAAAATGAGAACTCACAAGTTTTTTTGAAATGTCCCTTGTGGGAGAATCTTTCCCTCCTGCACTTACCAGTGCCTCTGTTTAAGGAAAGCAAAGACCTAGTTTTCTTCCTCTGAATCCTCCTTCCCTTTAATATTTTCTCTCAGGAGGGCTGAAATATTCTTTCTGAAGCTTGGACCCTCAATCACTCATGCGATAAAACTTAGAGTTGTCATAGTTCCCAAATATTTCCACTTGAATGAGAAGGTAAAGGCAAAGAGAAAGTCGAGAATATAGGTCTACAGCACACTGCTGTTGAGGGAGCAGTAGCTGAGTAGCACGCTAAGGGGAAAAAAGCCCTCCGCGGCATTCAGGTAGGAAAGGAAGAAATCAAGCTCTCACTATTCGCAGATGATATGATACTCTACTTAGAGAATCCAATAACCTCCACCAAAAAACTCCTAGAAACAATAGACTCATATAGTAAAGTTGCAGGCTATAAAATCAATACCCAAAAGTCCATGGCTTTCCTATACGCAAACAGTGAGAGAGAAGAAAGCAACATGAAAAAAACAATCCCGTTCACAATTGTGCCCCAGAAAATCAAGTACCTAGGAATCAGCTTAACTAAGGAAGTAAAGGACCTGTACAAAGAAAACTACAAAACGCTACTTCAGGAAATAAAAGAGGACATGAGGAAATGGAAAGATATTCCCTGCTCATGGGTCGGGAGACTTAACATTGTCAAGATGGCAATACTACCGAAAACATCGTATAAATTCAATGCAATCCCTATAAGGATACCCATGACATTCTTCAAAGAAATGGAGCAAACACTCCTGAAATTTATATGGAACAATAAACCCCCACGAATAGCTAAAGCAATTCTTGGGAAAAAGAAAACGGGAGGAATCAACCTCCCTAACTTCAAACTGTACTACAAAGCAGTAATAATTAAAACAGCATGGTACTGGAAAAAAGGCAGAACTGCAGACCAATGTAACAGAGTTGAATACACTGACATCTCCCCTCAATCATATGATCATCTAATCTTTGATAAAGGTGCAAGTAATGTGAAGTGGAGTAAGGAAAGCCTCTTTAATAAATTGTGTTGGCATCACTGGATGGCTACATGCGAAAAAATAGGCTCAGAACTCTGCCTAACACCATGTACAAAAGTAAGATCAAAATGGATTAAAGACCTCAACATCAGACCAGAAACCATAAGGTACATTGAAGATAAAGTTGGCAAAACCCTCCATGACATTGAAGCTAATGGTATCTTCAAAGATGCCACGCCACTGGCCGAGCAAGTGAAAACAGAGATAGATAAATGGGACTATCTTAAACTAAGAAGCTTCTGCACTTCAAAAGAAACAGTGACCAAAATACAAAGACAGTCTACAGAATGGGAAAGGATATTCACCCAATACCCATCTGACAAGGGGTTGATATCAAGAACATACAAAGTACTGGTTGAACTCCACAAGAAGAAAACATCCAACCCCATCCAAAAATGGGGCAAGGAAATGAACAGAAACTTTCTCAAAGAAGAAATCCGAATGGCAAAAAAGCACATGTGAAAATGCTCTACATCATTAATCATCAGGGAGATGCAGATCAAAACCACAATGAGATACCATCTCACACCTCAGAGACTGGCCCACATTCAAAAGAACAAAAGCAACCGATGCTGGCGTGGATGTGGCGAGAAAGGGACACTCCTTCACTGTTGGTGGGAATGTCGACTGGTTCAACCCTTCTGGAAAACAGTATGGACGATTCTCAAAAAATTAGAAATTGAGCTCCCATTTGACCCAGCAATACCACTCCTGGGAATATATCCCAGAGAGGCAAAAATGTATAGTCGAAGTGACATCTGCACTTGTTTGTTCATTGCAGCACTCTTTACAATAGCCAGAAACTGGAAGAAACCTGAATGCCCAAGAACAGATGACTGGTTAAAGAAACTTTGGTACATCTACACAATGGAGTACTATGTAGCTCTTAGAAAAGATGAAGTCATGAAATTTACATACAAGTGGTACAATATGGAAAGTATCATGCTAAGCGAAATGAGTCAGAAAGAGAGGGATAGACATAGAAAGATTGCATTCATCTGGGGGATATAAAGTAACAAAATATGAGATTAATACCCCAGAATAGCTGAGATCAGCACCAGGAGGATTACTCCATAACTTAGAGGCCAGCCGGGTATCCTAGAGGAAAGGGCAGTTCAGATAGTAAAGGGAGCACCAAATAAAGGATGTTTGGAGGATCCTCCCAGGAGGGGAGACGCATGTCGAAAGTAGACTATGGACTGAACATGTTTGCCACTCAATGCCTCTTTTGCAGACCACAACACCCAAAATGAGAGAGAGAACACAGGGGATTGCCCTGCCACAGAGGCAGGGGGGGATGGGGGGATGGGGTGGGGGGATATTATCTATGGTGGTGGAAAATGGGCACTCGTGGAGGGATGGGTATCTGATCATTGTATAATCGAAACCCAAGCACAAAAAATTGTAAATCTACAACTGTACCTCATGGTGTTTCACTAATAAAAAAAAAATCTAAAAAAAATTTAAAAAGTCCTCCACATCCTCAAAAGTATGTTTCCAGGACTCTGTCAGTCCATCCAACTTCTTTGACTTAAAAAGGACTGTTGGAAGAAGATACTGAAAATATTTCATATGTTGACGTGACAGTTAGAAAATCATTTTAAAATGTTAACCAGCTTCAAAACTCCTTTACAACCTAGCCTATTCATTCTAATTTTCCCTTCTTGTGCTCAAGTTGCTACTTATGGATCAGTCAATAGAATCATCCCAGAGGGCCTATATGTTGAATTGCTTTACTTTAAATTATTCTGTAAGTGCCTTAATTTCTCTGTAACTGGCTTAACATCATTAATTCTTAGAAGTCATCCTGCTTTTCTCCCATTCCTCCTATTGTCTGAGTAATTAAATTGATTCTCTTTCCTATTGAAATAAATAACTTTATTATTCACAATAATAAATAATTGCATGGCAATAATTAAATTATTGTTGAATCCTGGTAGAGCACGCTGACCCTTGCCCCACAGAAGCTCACAGGATATCAGGTAAGTATTTTAATCCTGAGGGTTTTTTATGCAGCATAATCTGATGTAATTCAATTGATACAGAAGAGATATCTGTTGTTTCTTTTTCTACTGACTCTTTTAAATGATTTATTATCTAGGGGAATTTTCATCATCTTTGATTGATAATTGAAATGTGAAAAGCCTCAAGACAGAAATCAGGGTGATTTTAGAGAGGGTTTATGTGGTTTCTTTTGTTTTTTACTTAATCAGATATTAAGAGAAGGGAGTTGATGCAACTGAACTGCTAAGCATCCTTGTCGGATCGGTGCATAACCCAGGTCCCATCTACAGCTCCCTGTTTTCTGAATCAAAACTCAGGCTCCAGAGAGGCATCTGCCGACTCCACTCAGGCACAGAGCAACTGACTTTCCCTGGGGTAGACCTTAAGCCCTGTTTCAGTGATTTGGGGGTTTTTTCTTGTTATTTTTATTTTTTCCTCACAATGGTATTTGCCCTTTCTTTCTGAATATATAAGTCAGAGTTTTCCAAAGATATAAAAAGAAGTGTGTATGAATTTTCTTCCCCTGAATCCTCCTTCCTTTCAATATTTTCTCTCAGAGAGAAGGTTGAAAACATTCTTTCTGAAGCATGGACCTATTTCCACTTTTACATGTGTATGTGTCTATGGGTGTACACGTGTGTATATGGGAAAAACGGGACAGATAAAATGAATTGGCTTCTAAGGTTATTTTAAGTATTTGGTATTGTGTAATGATGGGACTGAAAACCCCCAGATCTACATTCAGCAAACCAAAGACCCTGGGGGTCCACAAGGATAAACCAGTCAGTCCAAAGACCTGGAAAACAGGGGAACTAATAGTAGAATTCCAGTTTCACCACAAAGACCTCAGACTCACATCCTAAGACACATCCATGTCCCCACTCAGAGGAAGTCAAAACAATTTTGCCCTGCTTTCCTGTCCAACTGAAATTATACAACACACTTTTTTTCATTATGGATGTGCAAAGACCAGAAAAACACATCGCTACTGATTAAATTTTCCATTTTAACTATTTGCCTTTTGTATGAGGCATAAATGAGAACTTTAGACCAATATCCCTGGAAAGAACACAGACTGCTGTTCACTTTCTCTTCCACTTTCTCTTTGAGACCTGACCGATCTCAAGTTTGATATGAGAACGTCTGTGCTGTTAACCAAAAACCAGGTAAGTTCACACTTATGAAAAGTTCTATCAGATGATTTCTAGTTCCCAAACTGTGCTGGAGGCAGGGGGCCGGGTTTCAAAGAACAACTTTGCCCTCTTGCCAGGATGACTTCAGTTTATGGGCTGCTTTAGTTTCTATTTTCCCGCAGAGTTTCTCGCAGAAAGAAACAAAGGGAAGACTTGAGCCACCCTGTGGGGTCGAGCTTCAGGCCTGTGCAGCTCTGGGACAAGGAGCAGGAATTCAGCAAGAAAAGCACGTGTGTGGTGAAGGTGGCTCCCTCATGCGAGGGGAGCAGTCACGGGCTCCTGAGCAGATAGAGTGGGGTCCAGTCCTGACGGGGCCAGTACGGTGCTTTTCTATGTTACCAGGAGGATGTCTGCCGGTGTCCAGCTGAGTTCACGGAGTCCCTGGGCAGGGACTCAAATGAATATGTGGTACAGAGATTGCTCCAGGAAAGGTTCCATGTTGGGAAGCAGAGAAGGAATGCAACTAAATCCACACAGGGAAGCAGATCCAGGAAATGAAATGAGAAAAGAAAGGTTGTGTCCCAGGAAAGCAAGGAAAGAGCAGGAGGTCCTGCGAGGAGAGAGAATGACAGCAAGATGGGCACAGCGTGGCCAGAGCACACTACAGTGAGTTGGGCGCTTGCCTGACCTGGGTGGCTGACCTGGGTTCCATCCCCAGAACCCCGTAAGGCCTCCTGAGCCCCACCCAGAATGATTCCCAAACACAGAGCCAGGAGTGAACCTTGAGCAACACCAGGTATGGCCCAAAAAGAAAAATATAAAGAAACAGGCCTGCTGAAAGAGCACTGAAACTGGTGAGGCACCACCCACTGCTTCTTTACTCACCCCAGGAGACTGAGGTTTCTCTGTAAAACAAGGAGAGCCGTTCACTCTCCACCCACCTGTAGGCCATGGGCAAACAAATGCGGGGTGTTGAGAGAAGGTTGTAGGAAAGCAGAGTCTCACGTGGCTCTGAATGGAAAAACAATCATTGTCTTGTTGGTCTCAGTCTCTGTGTCTCTGCGGAACAACACTGGACCAAAGTCAATACAGTCACTGGTAAACAGCTTCCATGGGGCCCTATTTTCTATATCCTGTCCCATTTTATTAAAAAGTCATACTCTCCCTCTAAGCCATGAGGAAATATCTGCTGATTCTTCATTCGAGTTATTTTGGATACTCATTCCAGCATGCCTGTCACTTAGCTACTCGTAGCTGGTCTTGACCAAGTTTCTACCTGTCCCAGACCAGTGGAACCATCTCTTGCTTTGAAATAGTCATGCTACCGGATCCACCTAGAGGTGTAATCCAGTCAAAGCTCTGACCTTCTGAGCTCTAACGATACAGGGTCCACCATGCACAAGGTAGCTTCTGAATCTATCTCACTCCCCAAGGACTTTTGTTTAAGACCCTACATAAAAATGTCCTGCAGTGCTAGAAAGAGCTAGAAAAATCTTGGAAATCATTTCTTATTCTATTTGATGTTCATTGAGTTCTATTTCACAAATGAAGCCTATTGGGAGGACATCATTTCCCACAATGTATAAATATGTCCTTATTGACATAGTCCCTTGGCATGATTAATGCAGTAATAACATAGTAACTTGCTCCTAACAGGATTTAATATGAAGAGCCAAAACACCAGAGGATCAGAGCTGAGAATCATTCTGGTGGGTAAGTCAGGGACTGGCAAAAGTGCAACTGGAAACAGCATCCTAAGAAAACAAGCATTTGAGTCCAGACTGGGGGCCCAGGGCATCACGAAGACGTGCAGTGAAAGTTGGGGCAAGTGGGAAGAAACTAATGTGCTCATTGTGGACACACCGGATGTATTTTCTGAGGAGGGTCACTCGGATGCCCTGTACAAAGAGGTGCAGAGGTGCTACTGGCTTTCCGCACCAGGACCCCATGTTTTGATCCTAGTGATACAGCTCGGCCGGTTCACCACCCAGGACCAGAAGGCCGTGCAGAGAGTGAAAGAGATTTTCGGAGAGGAAGCCCTGGCACACACCATTATCCTCTTCACACACAAGGAAGACCTTGAAGGAGACTCCTTGATGGAGTACATCCACAGCACAGATAACCAAGCCCTCCGGGAGCTGGTGGCAGTGTGCGGGGGACGAGTATGTGCCTTCAACAACCATGCCAAAGGGGGCAATCAGGATGAGCAAATAAAGGATCTGATGGCAGTGATCCAAGGTCTGGTGATGGAGAAAGGTGGTAACCACTACACCAATCTACTGTACGGCCTGGGAACAGGATCAGAATTTGAACCCGTGTGCTCAGAGGACAGATTGCAGGATTTCAAAGGGCATCTGAGAAAGTCCAGGGAGACTCGGCGATGCCATTCAACCATGGTTGCCGTCAAGTGCCTAGGAAGAGCCTTGACCAAAATGCTAGTGTGTCTTTTATTTTTTCTTCATTTGTTTGGGAAACTCCTAATTATGTTCTGTGGAATCTCCAAAGTGTGCCCCCTTCCTCTCTGCTTATTCTTTACTATGTGCTCTTGGTTCTGTAGCTTCCTGTTAATTATACCCAAAAAATTAATGATAATTTTGAGAAATACCACTGGACATGCAAGTGTCCCAGATCATAGCTTTAGATCAGTAATTGTTTAGTCATTGTCCTATAGTGAATGAATCACAGTACCTGATGTCCATCAATTGTGAGATACTATGGAACTTTCAATATTAATATACTAATTTTGTTAGTAGATTAATTATTTAAAAGGCACTGCTTTATATAGTACAAGAACCTTTTGAAAGCTATAAACAAAATTCTTCTCATTTATCTCTAACAGTTACATGCTCCTAAGTTCTCTCTTTCATCTTTAAAATATAATTTCTACTGAATATAATAAGGTAGCAATGAAATGTATATTACATTTATAAAACAATAATAAAATTCCTGAAAGTATGTCTTTTTATTGAGTCACCATGAATTACAAAGATACAAAGAATCATCAAGTAAATAATCATTATGATTAATTAGTCACTAGGGAAAGAAACAATAGCCATAAAAGGAATAAGGGGACAAAATTGGAGTTTTAGATTCACAAAGAATAATTAAGAAATGTGAGTTAACTCAGAGAAAAATAAAATTATCAATCCTGAGATTAAGCAAGTCAACCTTGAGTTGTTGGGAAAGTTGATTTTAAAACTTCTGTATTCAGTTAAAATCCTCCTGTGCCACTAATATTACAAAATAAATAGGTATGCAAAATTGTTCTGATCCTTCTCCATTGTTTTGGGGACTGAAACATATGCTGTATCATAGATATATGATTATCATTAGTAATAACATACTATGATCATTAGTACTCTTACCTTAAAGTAAGAGTTTGAGGCATGGAGTAAAATATAAGAAACTTACAAATACATTCCATTTACTCTCTACCCTTCCATTTTGGATTATTACTTCATCAATAGAAAGCTCATGTCATTATTATTTTGCCTTGGTAAATTTTCTTTATTTTTATTTTGAGAGAGACATACCAACTTTGTTCAGACAGCTCCTGGCCATGCTATGGGGACCATGTCTTCACATTAAACTAATCAATAATCAAATTAATTGTCATTACCTTTCCCACTGAAGTGGAAATGAAAACAGCAGGAGTGTCAGTCATTCAAAAGAGTCTGTCCCCTGAAACACATGGAAAACAGGAAGTCGAAACTTTTTCTATCTTGAAAACAAAGAAAAAATGTGCTGGCGAGAAAGAGATGAAAAGTTAGAGTCTGGACAACAAAATGCAAAAAGCTCAGATTTTACTTCCTCCAGGGACAATCCAATTCAAGAAGTTTCCCTCAGTTAGGTAGGTCAGATAGCTGGTTGGTGGTATGAACAGGCCAAGGGCCCAGCCTTTGGTAACCCGTTCACCACTTGACATTGGCTAACTTTCTAGCCTTGCTCTCATCATCCTCTTGAGAGAAGAGAGTGTAATTAGAATTGATGGTACCATCGAGAAGCAAAACTAGGTCTGTACTGAGTCCACCCTGAGAACTGGGTGAAGTATTCACACCCAACATGCCACCAGTTCTAACATCCTCCCCCAGCTAGAAGACTTTCTTTATCAGAGAATGATGACTCTCTGCTTCCAGAATCTTCTTTCAGGCTAGAGTCAGTGTGGCATTGCACCAGGGTGGCATGACCATAGGCATGTCCAGTCAATGAGCGGCTGTTGACAACTGAATCATATTCTTAGGACTGGGATGAATTTTCTCTGCACCATTTTTTATGAGGTTGTAGTGAGAAAATCCCTACATAGAGCAGGATAATTGAAAAATTACATCAGTAACTAATTCTAGAGCAGGGACAGGTCTCAGGGATGAACAATCCCCTTGTCTTCCTCAGGCACAGCAAGGTATTTTTGTTTGGTTTGGTTTGTGGGCAATACCTAGCATTGTTCAGGGCTTACTCCTTGCTCAGCACTCAGGAATTACTTCTGGTGGTGCTCAGAGGATCATATGGAATGCGGGAGATCAAACCCAGTCGTCCACATGCAAGGGTGGCACCTGACCCCCAGCAAGATATTTGATATCAGGAGCCACACTGGTCCACACATCTCCTAAGTCACAACAGGAGGGGATATTTGTAGGAGAAGCCCTGCAAAACACATCTCAGTGTAGAGTGTGTGTCTCTTTTAAGTTTTCACCCGCCCTCCCCTGGGCTTCCTGAGCCCTTTGGTCTGAGAGCAAACAGACTTCCTCTCTGCTGGGAGGCACCAGCCCTCTGTTCTCACTGCCCAGGACACAGCAGCAGGTCAGGGACTTCTCCAAGCAGCCTCAGCACCTGTCCCAGGAAGGTGAGTCAAAGAGGGGAAGGGCTCTGCTAGCAACCAGAAGGAAAGAGGTCCTGGAATGTTTCTGCCAGAGCACCTACATTCGCCAGGCACCACACAATAACATCCCAGCAACCCAGAGAGGCTTCCAGAGTCTTAAGTCTGTTCTCACTTTCCAATGGATCTAGCTCATCACTTGATCACTTGACTTTAAATTAATCGTCGATTTGCTCGAGTGGGCTCCAGGAACATCTCCATTTGTTCCTGTCGCGTGCTAGTGTAGCCCAATGGCATCTGTTCATTCTAGAAAAATGAAGAGCCTCAAACCAATCACTCATGATCTTGATGAAGAAGTCTGACCATCTGGTAGGTGGGCGGTCACGTTGTCTTTTGACATCTCGTGGAATCCAGTAGGTAACGGCTCTAGTCCAGTGGTTGTCTCTAAATCTCGTTATATGACCAGCCTATCTGATTTTTGAGGCCTTGGCAAATGAGACAGCATCCCTGATTCTTGATCGTCGACAGAGGCCGCAACTCCAGATTCTTTCTCTCATTTGAGTGAAACATGACACTCCAAGCATAGCTCTTTCATTTCCACTTTGGGAGATCCAAATAGCATTCTCATCCTGTTTGCATAGGGCCCAGGTCTCTGAGGCATATGTTAATGCAGGAAGAACAGTGGAATCAAAGAGATGTGCCCAGAGCCGAAGGTTCTTCATCCTCTTAGCTATTTCTTGAAGGCGTTCCAAGCCACTCTCTTCCTCCTGCGCAGCTCAGGTGCCAGGTCATTTGTCATGTTGACTTCTCAACCTAGGTACACATAACTGTTGCATTCAGAGATGGCCGTTCTTGAGAGCGAATGGAGTGTCAGGAACGAGGCTGTTTCTCATAAACATGGTCTCGTAAGACTCATCTGTAGTCCTACCTTTCCACACTCACGGTCAAAGTCGGCCAGCATTTGTGCCGCTTGGCTAATGTTTGGTGTTATTAAAACATCATCAACAAAGCGGAGGTGGTGTAATTGCTGACCATCTATCTTCACTCCCATTCCTTCCCATTCCAGTCGTCACATGATGTTCTCGAGGGTGGCACTGAAGAGTTTTGGTGAAATGGTATCCCCCTGCGAACCCCTCTCTTGACATCAATGATTACTTTTTTGTAGAATGGTGAGATCCTAGTAGTGAATCTGATGTCAGTCGGCCCCACGGGTGACTTATGTGAAGTGGGGAGGAGAAAGATGGTCACTTTCTCCCCACCCACCTCTGCCACCAGGGACCCAGGGTTACTGGGTTCTTGTCTCGCTTTGCAGAAATGAACTTCAGGAGTAGAGAAGCAGTGAAGTAAATAGATTTTATTTGGAGGATTTTTAGGTATGGAGGGAGAGAGAATGAGAGAGTAGTGTACTCAAGAGAGAACATGGGCTTCTCCAAGGGCAGAGAGAGCCCCTACAAACATACATGAAAGTATGAAAGTACACATCTCAAGAAGGGAGATGCAGGCGACACATGTGCTCGGGCACCACATGTGCTCAGTCACGTGGGCATAAGTACACATGGGCTTGGGCAGCATATGCGCACCCTTCCTTTGTTCTAGGTGGCCTTTATAGGGTTTCTCCATCCTGCCCCCATGTGGGGCTTCTTCCCAGGTAAAAGTTCGTTGCTAAGGAGGTTACATATCGAATACACAACGGATAGCTTGCCAAGCTCTTCCCTGCGGTCGAAATACCCTCGGTAGCTTGCCAGTCTTTCCGAGAGGGATAGAGGCTTTTGGGGTGACCTCTAATCACCCTTGTAGGTGTTACCATATTTGAACCCTATCAAATATGGTACGACAATTCCGGAAGATGGGTATTTAGTGTCTTATGATGTGTCGCGCGGGTCCGGAAAGCATCCTGGAGTGTGGCAGCGGCTGGGTAGTGGAGGTAGTGTCCATTCGATATGCCAAAACCAGTAATTACAACTGGTCTCTTTCACCTGACCCTGAAGGCTTCACCGACATGGCAGCACTGAGAAGGATGAGAAAGGAGAGGCCGACAAAATCTAAGGGCCGAACTAGGCTGCCACAACAAAGGAAGACACAAATGATCTTCTGTACTTTCAATGCACGTACGCAAGCATCAGATGCATCCATCGAGGACCTGATGGTACAAGCGCGAATGATCAAATACGACATCATTGGTGTGAACGAGAGAAGAAGACACGAATCTCACCATGCCGTTTTTGACACTGGAGAAGAATTGTTCCTCGGAACATGTGATAAAAGAGGTGTTGGAGGCATCGGTGTCCTTGTAAACACAAACTTGGCCATAACCATTGATTCATTCGAATGCCTAACAACCCGATTCGGATGTTTACATTTGAATAGATGTGGCTCACTGCCGGCAGTTTCTATCTTCGTTGTCTACACACCAACATCTAATTATGATGAAAGAGAAATCAAGAAGTTCTACATGGAGCTAGAGAAGTTCTATAAAGAAGACCACACCTTCTACAAGATCATTGTGGGTGATATTAATGCCAAGATAGGACCGAGAAGATCAGCTGAAGAACTTCACATTGGGACCCATGGCCTAGAATGGAACGAACAGGGTGAGAGACTGTTTGAGTTCATCATGTCGACCAAGATCATCCATGGAAACTCACAGTTCCAGAAGGCAGAATCTAAACGTTGGACATGGGAGTCTCCAGGTGGACGACTCCACAACGAAATAGACCACATCATATTCAATCGATGGTTTTGCCTGACCAATGTTGCTGTTGTCCCAAAATTTCGAACGGGATCAGACCACCGTCTCCTTCGTGCAAAATTCTACTTCACAGAGCGGGGAGAAAGGGCTGCAAA